TCCCCTGGAGCTGACGCCCTGAATTTGGACTTGTAGCCTACTGGACTATGAGAGAGTAAACTTCTCTTTGTTAAAGCCATCCACTTGTGGTATTTCTGTTACAACAGCACTAGATGACTAATACAGGAGGGGTCACATTAACTCTTTAAAACCTACTGATCCTTTACAAAGTTTTACGTTAGTGTCCCAATTAAGGGCAAGGAAATGAAAAGAGGAAATAAAACAATCTAAGTTTCTGCAATGGGTCATGAAACAGGAGGAAATTATTTTTAAATGCCTGTTTTTTTCAGCTAACCATTAATGACACTTCTTTCCTATAGCCCGAGGGTCTGAAGAAAAAAAATCATCGCTGAGAACTGACTTTTTAAGGAGGAAGAGTTCTACTGTCTCTGATATATCTCAAGTGAATTCTGATTTTAAGAAATCTGTAAGACAAAGCAAGGCAAGGAGGCCCTTTAATTATTTCAGGAGTTGGTATCCAACTCAGTTCGATCATATAAAACAAGACAAAAAGGGAGACTAAAATTCCTTAAAAGTATTTTGAGTGATTGCTTTTAAAATGAACATTAAAAACACCAAATATAGATGAAGTATGCACAGCCTGACCAAGGTAAACGATGTAACTAAGAAGTACGCAAGAAAAAAGGATGTTTTTGGTGAACGCCATGACATATACAACTGTGCAAGAACAACTAAAAACAAGGAGCGTGGTTCCGTGTTTCTGTGGGCATATACAGATGTATCTACATGCTGGTGTATATATATGCAAGTGTACGCATTCACATATGTTCATATATACAGTAAGGCACATGGGGGCACAAATACAGATACTTTCTAGACTGAAGCAAATACCTCACAGGATTGGTTTATGGGTCAACTGACATAATATAGTACGTAAAGTTTATGTTCTACATCCTAATTTGGTGAGTAGTGTCTGCAGTCTTAAGAGCTTGCAAGTGGCCATCTAAGATAGAATTATTGGTCTCTATGCGTCCAAAGTAAAAGGAAAAGAAGGAAACCAAATACTCAGAGAAGGAACTAGTCCATAGGACTAACAGTCTACACAAACCACAGCCTCATCTACTGGGACCAGAAGAACTAGATGATGCCTGACCATTGTGGTCAGGAACACAGTACTTGGATCCTGACAGAATGGGAGCAAAATGGTGAACAGGCCTTAAATTCTTAAAAAGTCCAGACTCACTGGACTACTCGAGACTGGAGAACTCCCTGAGACTATCACCCTAAGATACTCTTTAAATCTTGAACCAAAACTACTCCATGAGGTCATTTTTTAGCTAAATAACAGACTGGCTCATAAAATAAACAGTATCATCTGTGAGTACTCTTGCAGTACAGTGAATTACTTAATATGGTCTTTCTAGCCATAGTCTTTGTAACTTCCACCAAATGACTGGGTAGGACTATGCAGATGAGGTGTTTATGGCCCACCAAGGAGATTGGACAGCTTGCTAATAATGCAAATATGGTTCATGGCATCCTTGTGGGGATGGGACCATACAAATAAGGTATAAAGAAGGGGATTGGTCAGTTTTGCCATCCTGCTAAGGCTTAAAATGAGCCATCCCAGAGGCGGACAGAGGGAACCTGACTACCACCAAGAAGACAGGAGCAGAGCATGTCCTTTGGACCTAGGATCCCTGCACTGAGACCTTCCAGGAGACAGAGAGAGAGTTGGGACACCAGAGACGGCGAAAGACAGTGATAAGCAGCAACAGTGAAATGGCAGCAGCAGAGGCAGCAGAACCGACGGGCAGGAGACAGCGTGGTGGGCTTCCTGGCCTATGGAGCAAGAAAGCTGAGTGCCTTTGGGCAGGAGGCTTGCTGGCGGAATAGGATGCCTTCTGGCACTCGGTGGATCCAAGTATGCTGACCCAGGGAGCTAGAGCTACAGGTGAATGTTTTCAGGCCAAGGCTTACTGGGCAGAGTGAGGTGCCTCAGGGCACTTATTAGAGGCGCTAAAAGGGCTTTGTAACACTTGCCTGAGTAGAGTGGGGGGGGGGGGCAGAGAGAGGCATGCCTCATGGCTGAGAAGAGGCTGTTCTGATGGAAGAACTGTATCTTGAGTATTCTGGAACCTGAATTGTAACCTGTTACTTCTCTAATAAACCCCATAACTCTGAGTATTGTCTGTGAGTTCTGTGTGGCCTTTCCAACGAATTATTGAACCCAGCAGAGGAACAGAGAGCCCTGTGGGAGGGATAGTTGGTAAAAGGGTTGGAAGCTGAAGGCATGTCTGACCTCCACCTCATAGGAATCAGCCTTGGGCTGTGGATTTTGATTCTCCATCCCCCTCCTGAAGTTAGGGGACATCAGACGTCCCCGCCACACCATTTTCACAACTGTGCTCCTTTAAAAAATCATCTATATGGGGGCCAGTCCCGGTGCTGCAGGGAGGTAGGGCGGGGTGGAGGCGGGAGTGAAGTCTTGCAAACAGAGGTGGTTGCCGTAGCAGAGCCTTCTGGCTGTGTGTGTCTGAGGATCCTCCACAGGAACCGCCAACGGTCTGCAGAGTCCGTTAGAGCCCCTGGCTGAGATTCACACAGCCGAGGTGTCCCGCTACCTGTGCCCCCCCAACACGTCTCTGTTCGTGAGGAACGTGGCTGACGACACCAGGTCTGAAGATTTACGTCGAGAGTTTGGTCGCTATGGTCCTATAGTTGATGTGTATGTTCCACTTGATTTCTACACACGACGTCCAAGAGGATTTGCTTATGTTCAATTTGAGGATGTTCGTGATGCCGAAAATGCTTTACATAATTTGGACAGAAAATGGATTTGTGGACGTCAAATTGAAATCCAGTTTGCACAGGGGGATTGGAAGACACCAAATCAGGTGAAAGCCAAGGAAGGGAGGAATGTATACAGTTTTTCATGCTATGATGATGATGATGACAGATACAGACGTTCTAGAAGCCGAAGTTAGAAAGAAGGAGATCAAGACGTCGGTGTTTTGATTACAACTACAGAAGATCTTATAGTCCTAGAAAACCAAACTGCAGCTGGAATACCCAGTACAGTTCTGCTTACTACACTTCAAGAAAGATCTGAAAAAGCGGAAAAAGAACCAAAGAAGGGCAGTTCAAGTGACCAAAGGGTGGGTGGAAGGTGCTGCAGTATGAATATGGTACGAATATTCTGACTCTGGTCTGAAAAGATAAAAAGAATGTTAACGAAAACTATGTGGAATAATTGAAGTCCCTTCAAGTTTGAAAGAAAGCATTTTAGGACAAATAAAAGGAAATTCAACTTTGTACTTGTGGGAACTAATCCTTAAATATGAATAGGTTTATACTGATTCGTGAGTAATAGGTCCATAATAAATTACTGAAAACTAGGATGTCTGCATATTAAGGAAGACAGCCATTGTCTCTCACAGTGCCTCTATTGGTCAGTCTCACACAATTGGGTGGGAAAGGTATGGTCCGATATAAACTTTGCTTGGTTGTCTCTTAAAGAAGTCAGCTCCTTTTGGACTATTATTGGCAACTCTTGCCTCTGTTTATTCCAGCGCAGTGTGTCCGCTTGATCGTTTGCTTTGTTGGCATCTTGAGTTTATGTACTTGTACGCCACACGCTGTTCACATCTTCCTTAAGCTACTCTTTCCCAGGTAATTTCCAAGTAGAACACTTGACAGCCGGCTAAGAGGGTCCTCTCTACTCACCTCTTTCATAGTATATTCAGCAAACATTTACTAAGCCCTTAGTGTGGGCCAAACATTGTACTGGGTAATTGGGGAGAAAAGTAGATAAAATTCGTTTATTCAGTAAATGTCTACTGAGCACAATCCAGTGAATCATTACAATATGGCCTCACTGTTTTGTCTGAGGTGTATTCATAACAATGTTTTACACCACTCATCCTAATGTAATTGTAAAACCCCATATGCTATCAAAAGTAAGTAATTTTGTGGTTATCTACCATTTTAAAGTATCCAGTATTTCTGTTTGTATCCCATTAATACAAATAATGAGAAAAGTGATTTGTTCTAATCTGTAATAAACTGATTTATTGTGCAGTGGCTGTAATACACTAGTTATATTAAATTGTTAACTCTGCCTCTTCAAACACATTAGGAAATAACCCCCAAAATAAATACTTACTTTTGCATTAGATATCAAGGAGAGACTCTGGGGGCTAAAATTAGATTATTCTGAGGCAGACACAGCTGTTATCCCAACTGATTTAGTATGTTCTGTAATTGAGAAAATGTTCACCAAATTTACTTTTTAGTGATTTACATGTACATTTTCTAGGGGACATGTTCTGTATATAGTGAATAAATAACTATTTTAGTAACACAAAAAAATCATCTATATGGGACCAAACAGTCAACATTTATGTAGAAGCAAAGATGAGAAGGCAAGGGGGCCGGGAAACTACCTTACCGGAAATGGAACAACCAGAAGGGAAATAACGACAAAGCTGACACAGTGTGAAAAATGTAACCAATGTTACTGAACAAACTGTATAGAAACTGTTAAACAGGAACCTAATTTGCTGTGTAAACTTTCACTGAAAACACAGTAAAATATTTTAACTGAAAAAAAAAAAAGGACATTAAAAACTGGTCTGCTTTAGCCATAAAGTGGTAAGAATATCTCCAGTCTTTCTGAGGTTCCCTAAAATGCACAGATGCTAGGGAACATGGCTTTTATAATAGTGACTGTGGAAAAAGTAAATGCAAGTTAATTAACACCAACAAAAATACTCGAAAGCACAAAGATAACAGGACAATGGTCTCATTTTTATATATACAACGGCCTCAACATCTCTCTGTCTCTCTCTCACACACACACACACAAAGTGAAATAGGGTCAAGATAAGTACCCTGAGGAGGGCCCATGATGAGACATTTCGCGGAAGAGCCAAATGTGAAGCAAATCCACAATCAAGAAATGATGATCCCTGTCACATTCAGCATGCTAGCCAGAGCTTTAAGAGATTTCAAATGCCATGGTACACGGGGTTACTCACAGGAGAGAGTTTCTGGATGAGGTCATGGGCAACATGAACAAGGTTCTTGTCTTCATGGAGACACTTCTGGAATTTTTTGCTCTCCTCATCTTCCAGGAGATCAAAATCAATGGCAGCATCCAGTAAGGCCTGAATTAAGCCCTTCCAGGACTTCAGGGCTGGGACCTGAGGGGCAACCGCAGCACTAATGCCTGTTCCGATCACCAGCACAAGTTCCTGAGGCTTCTTCGTTTTTAAGCTGGGAAGCAGCTTCCTAGAAAAGTAAAACAAGTGAGAGGACTGGGAACATCCAACACGTATGAGGCACGTGGAAAGACAATCTGACTAAAATCACGGGTTTAGCTCTAACGTTCATAGTCACGAAGACGACAAATACCAGTTTCTGACATGTCTGGAAACAAACAAAAAGACCGATGATTGCGCAAGCGCCTGCAAAGAGCAAACGACGTCAGGAATCCCAAAGAGTGGTCTCAAAAGCAAGTTTCTCCTTTATATTCCTCCCAACCTAAGAAAACCCACTAGCGTTAGAAAAAGGTACAAATATATTACAGCTCAGCATAGTTCTGACAACTAAATTGTATTTTAAACTGACATTAAGTTTCAAAAGAATATGTACGATTTGGAGTCCAGAAAGAGAGAGAGAGAGAAAAGATAGGTTCTAATTGTTGAGACACCAAGTGGAGACGAAAGAAAGTCAGTAAAAAATTTAACTCCAAGTTCTGTAAACATTATTAAGATAAAACGGAGCATGAGATAGCCAAGATGGGAACAAACCTGCCCTGGTTATCTACATTTCCTCAGGCAAGAAAAGAAAAAGAAAGTGGCCATCAGAATTCCGAAAACACAGGAATCTCACATTACTTAAATAAACAACAAAGAAATAACTACTCAAAGGATAGGACAAAAAGTGAAACACAGTCCTTTCGCACCATGATAAGCCCAGCCACACTTCTGTCCTGAAGCTGCATGTAAGCACGGGACAAGTCTGGGCTTGTTTTCTGCCCACCCTCCCTTTATTCGAGAGACTTAAAATCCCTGTTTGAAATAGGTTTCTTCACTTTAATTACTGCTGATGGTATGCTTTTACCCAAGAAACTGCCATCCTCAACCTTCTGTCCAAACGATAATAAAATGAATAAAAATAGGATCAGCATTTTGGCATAATCTAAAAAAGGGGCATTATTTCTAGTCTTGGGAAACCTCATTTTGGGTAAACAACCTCTCGAACTGTCTTCCCTTTCCCCAATCCCTGCATCCAGTCATTCGAATATGAAAAAACCTAAAAATTGCACTAAAGGTATATCTACAAATAAAATGGAGTTCCTGATCTCAAAAGTTTAGTCTACTGGGGAAGACTGAGAATAGGTATTAGGAGCAAATGATGAAAAATGAATGTCAGTTCAGAGGAATCAGGACAGTGAAACATATACAAATACACTCATGCATGGAAAATTTCTAGAAGGAGTCACAAGAACTGTGAATAGTGGCTCACCCTGGGGAGTGGGACTGGGGGATGAACAACTTTTCACTTGATACTGCTGTACTATTTGAATTTTTACTGTACATGTGTATAGATCTGAGTTATACTTTTCATTATAAAGGAAAAAATTAACAGCCGTGTTCTATTTCTGGCCCTCCCCGAAACCACTAATAACAGTAAAAGAGTTTTTTTAAGGCATACATTTATGAGAAGGAGAATGGGAAAAGAACAGCAGACAACAGAGGCCAACACAATTTTAGAAACCGCAAAGTAAAAGCCAATTCCTGTAGAACCTTGGGATATTCTGGTTCATCTGCAGCTGAAGGTGCACTGGGACTAAAACAGACAAATTAACTGCAAGTTGTAACTGAAGCAGTTAGAACTCTAAATGCCCTCCTCATCCTGGCAGAAGCCTGCAGACTTGCTCTGGAAAGGCTGAACCATAGGATTCTGTATTTGGGGACACTGGGCATAGTTCAATGGGGACAGCATGGGAGAGTGAAGACAGGGAGATAAGTAAAAGTCTGTGTATGAAATACAGGACTCCCTCCAACTCCCTTCCCCTGTGGGAGACTCCCACAACATTGGCGGCCAACCTTTTACTTGCACCCCACCCCATATCTAGTTAGGAGATAGGAGAATTCTTATTTGGGGGAATTGAGCACAAGAGAAAAGACCCACAGATTCTGACAGGTAGGAGTTTCTCAACTGCAGAGCCTGGTCCGTGCTTGATGTCTACAGGCAGCCCCACTGTGAATAATCCCTTATGCACACACAGATTTTCCAACTGGCTTTTTAGTGTTTTCTCTTAAATATGAGCAGACAAATAAGGGTCATCTTACATTTGAGAAAAGCCCCAAACAGAGTTAGACCAAAACAAACTAGCAGACAGAAAGGAACTTGGGGGAGACAAGAGACAACTCAAGAAAGAGAAGGAAAATTTAAATGAAAACTGTATCTTCATTTAGCTTTTAAAAAAACTACATCTATGAAACATGAATAAGATGCTATAAAAAAGGAATAGGAAAACAAAAAGATTTCTTGGAAACAAAAATAATAAACTCTTAAGTAGAAAGATAAAATTGAGAGAAACTTCCAGAAAGTAGAATTAAAAAACAAAAAGGGATGGAAAAAATTTAATTAGAGACTTAATTCAGGAAGTCTGAAGACAAGAGTTCTACAAAGACAGAATAGAGAAAAATTCGCAAAGGAAATGATCAAATAACACAAGGAAATTTCTCTTAGGTGAAGGTGTGTTACTGTAAAATTTCAGGTTAATGAAAATAAAACAGAGCCTTACGAATTCCTAATAATAAGAGATTATATAATCCAAAGGACTGGAAATCTGAACAGAAGTGGCTATTTTGGCAGGAACATTTAGATATTAGCAAAGAATGAGCAATGCCTTCAAAATTCTAAGAAAATTATTTCCTACCTAAAATTCTATATCCAGCCAGACTATCAAATAAATATGAGTATGATAAAGACATTTTCAAATGTTTCCATAAACTGTTCTCCTATGGATCCTTACAAAGGAAGCTACATGAGGAGATGCTGTAACAAAATGAAATGAAGGAATACACGAAAAAAGAAGGCATAAGATCCCGGAAACAGAGGATCCAAAATAGGAGTGTTTTAGTCATTTAGTGCAGCTGTAACGGAAATACCGTAAGTGCATGGCTTTAACAAACAGAAATTTACTCCTTCACAGTCTATGAGGCTAGAAGTCCAAATTCAGGTGCCAGCTCTAGGGGATGGCTTTCTCTCTGTGTCAGTTCTAGGGGTATATCCTTGTCCTCATCCTCCCCCTGGTCTAGAAGTTTCTCAGCGCAGGGACCCTGGGTCCAAAGGACGCACTCCACTACCGGCGCTTTTTTGGTGGCATGAGGTCCCTTCTCCTCTGATTCTCTCTTCTGTATCTTAAAAGAGATTGACTCAAGATATAACCTAATCCTTTAGATTGGGTCCTGCCTCATTAACATAACTGCCTCTAATCCTGCCTCATTAACATCGTAGAGGTTAGAATTTACAACACATAGGATAACCACATCAGATTACAAAACGGTGGACAACCACACAATACTGGGAATCATGGCCTAGCCAAGTTGACACACGGTTTTGAGCGACACAATTCAATCCATAACAAGCAGTGATGTAGAAAGAATTCTCGGGATGATGGTAAAGGGAAGGGCAATATCAGAAATGCAGCAGGCCTGCAGAGCAACTGCCGAAAGCAGAACAGAGCCCAGAGGGAAGGATCCAAGAGACAAATTAACCTGGTAATCTACTGGTGTGTTTTACCATATCTAGGAGATTATTCTTCTGTCACAGACTTTGGAAAGAAATTAATTATGGGTACACGGAAAACAAAGCAAACAAAAAAATGAGAAAATCTTTTAACAAAATGGAGAAAAATAAAGGAAATGTAATCATAGCACATTATTAGACTCAGCTACAAATATTTAAAGTATCATAATGTTATAAATATTAAAAACTGATTTACCCAAAAATGGTGATTTAAGTGTGTGTGTGTGGGGGGGGTGGTTTTGCAACTTGGGGGATTTGTGAGAGCAAGTTTAATTGTTATCTTCTATAATTAGAAGTAAGTAAAACAAAAAGCTAAAAAAATAGCAGTACTCATACAATATTTAAGAAATATGGATGTAAATACTAGAGGAAACATTAAAGAAGTTGAAAGTGATGGTCTCTGAGGAGGGGTGGGGTCCTGAAGTACAAATTTTTAAAACTAGGTACAGGTATTACCTTGATAAAAACTAAAAATTAAATCCAAAATAAAAACAATTTGATTTTTTAAAATGAAGGTCAGTATTAACTAGTGAAAACCAACAGAACACAGGGCAAGTTATTTTCTTTAACCAACATGAATGCTAATTTACCACATCAGATTCCCTTCCCTTGTTTACCTGGGCTTTTTGGTGGGGGGTGCGCCATCATTGAAGAATCCAAAAAGCTCGTTTATATCAGAGGCCTGGCTCCCTGTTGAAGCCATCCAGTTTCTAAAATAGATTAAACACCATGGACAATGATTAGATTTTTTTAAAGTATACCAGTCAAAATAGTAATACAGTAAATATTAGTTTTAATAAGTTGTACATCCCAAAGGTGTTCTGGAGATATCCCCTACTTAACAGAAATTCATTTATTAACCAGAGTTCCAAGCTTAAGGTATTAAATTCATCTAAAAGAAGTAACCTCTGAAATTATAGGATTTTGGTGCTCCATACTGCCACCTTGCTTTTGCTCCTGTAGTGCCCCCCAAAAAACAATGTCAACTCACGTTAATTATTGGCCATCACGTTGTGGAGCTTAGGAAATACCTGTTATTCTCCCACATGAAACAGGCTTGCGGAGGACTCAGAGGATAAGTGTGCTAGCAGCCCCGATCACCCATTTAATATCAGTTGAAGAAATCACTAGATCAAGAAGAGAACAGTCAATACTAATTTGCTGATGAAACATCCCTTCTTTACTGAACAACTATGTCCTCAGAGGCAGCAGGGCATGTCTCTCTAGCTAACTACAGAGTAGACTTTTAAATCAAGATGCCGTGATAAAGGGTAAAAGTATTATCAAGCAAAGATGTTTGGACAATGATCAATTACCTCCAGGTGACGAGATAACCAGCAAAATGAAAAGATTTACTATGGAAGGAGAATTACAAACAGAATTTTTAATTGCTCAGAACTTCAGTAAGATTGCTAAATCTAAGGACTGTTAATTCTAAAATAGCAATAATACTTTCAATACACACACTACAGAAGACATACTACAGAGTTTTGTGTTTCATATGCAATACTTAGAAAGAACTGAATTACTAACAATGATTGGAAGTTTAGTGTTTTATTAGAAAGCTTTTTTATTAAAATATTTTTTAAAGTCTGCTGAATTAATTTTTCTGGTAAACAGAAGGATCAGTGCACCCTCCCTCCCCCAATACTTCATCACATAATAGAATGCTTCTTTGATATCACTGTCACTAGGAACATAAAAAATTATAAAATCACAGATGAGTTAAGAAGCAGATCATCTTTCTACTAAAATCTTTGATTCTGTTGGTGTTATGGATTGAATCGTGCCCCCCTAAAAATATGTGTTGTAAACCCTAACCCCTACACCTGTAGTTGAGCCCCGGTAGCGCAGGGGTTAAAGCTGCTGAAAGGTCGGAGGCTTGAACCCACGAGCTGCTCCTCAGGAGAAAGATGTGTCAGTCTGCTTCTGTAAAGACAACAGCCTTGGAGACCCTATGGGGCAGCTCTATTCTGTCCTACAGGGTCGCTATGAGTTGGAATCGGGTTATACCTGTGGTTATAATCCCATTTAGAAATGGGTTTTCTTTGTTATGTTAATGAGGCAGGATTAGTGTAGGGTGTGTTTTATGTCAAACTCTTCTGAGATATAAATAAGCAGATTAAAGGAAGCACACACACAGAGGGAAGATACACGCAATATGATTGCCCAGGACCTTCCCCGAAACGGACAGAGAGAGAACCCTCCCCTAGAGCCGGTGCCCTGAATTCGGACTTCTACTCTCCTAAACTGCGAGAAAATAAATTTCGGACTGTTAAAGCCACCCCCTTGTGGTATTTCTGTTATAGCAGCACTAGATAACTAAAACAGTTGGTAAGAAAGCTGGGGCTTAGAGAAGACAGAGGAATTACTTAACTCAGTCAATCTTGCCTTAACCGAATAATCACCTGGGATGTTTACAGAAAAGACATGCTCCTAGGATCTACTCCAAAATTACTGAACCAGAATCTCCAGAATCTTCAGGTGACTCTTAACAGCCAGGGAAACAGGAAATACCTAAATGAAATGTGAACCTGATTTTTCTGAAACTCAACTATTTTGTCAAATGCAGGATGCACAATAGGTAACCATTCTGATAGTGTAGCAGCTTCCCAGTTTGCTAATGCCAACAGTCAGAATATAATCACCATTAAAATATTTTTATGAAGTTTTAATTTATGTGAAGTCATTTCCTAGTAAGTCTATGCTCTAGATTGGAGAAGCAGTGAAAGACTAGTTACTTCTACCACACACAGGACAACCCGTTTGAGAATATTTTTAAAAATACACAACGAAAAGGGTACATGTTTTTTCCTTAAATATGGCTCCATAAACCCATCATCTAAACCTATTATATTCATGTAAAACACTGTGATCGTTAAAGTTGGGTGTCAACCTGGCTGGGCCATGATTCTCAGTGGTTTGGCAATGTTATGATATTACGATCACTTCCATGATGAGATTTGATACAATGTGTTCACTTCCACGATGGGATCTGCTGTGAGTAGCCAATCAGCTGAAAGAGACTTTCTTTGGGCGTGTGGCCTGCATCGAATATAAGTGGACATTCTCTCACTCTGGTTCCTGTAGCTGGCTCCTGTTCATCTGACTGCCAGTTCTTGGGACCTGAGTTAGCAGCTTACTTGTGGTCTCGCCTGCTGATCTTGAGATTCATCAATCTTTGCAGCCTGTGAGCAAGAGCCCTGCTCTGTGACCTGCTGATTTTGGGTTCGCGAGACCCTTCGGCTATGAGAATCAGGAGAAGCCTCTATCCCGACCCCACTAACTTGGGACATTCCAGCCTCTACAACTGCGTGAGCCATTTCCTTGATATAAATCTCTCTATATAGATATTTACGTTTTACTGGTTTTGCTTCTCTAGAGAACCCTAAGACAAACACTGTGCACTGAGAAAGATGAAAGTAAGATGAATAGAGAAGTAGTTTAATTTTTATTAAGTTTTAAAGATGGATATCTTCAGAGTTCAAAGTTCAATTCAGCTACTAAACCATAGTTTTATTTAAACTCATATATAGTACCTAACATATGCCACACACTGTTTGTAAATATTAACTAATTCCCATAATCCTGAGGTACTATCATTGCCCCATTTTACAGACAAGAACACTGAGGCACAGAAAGGTTGGGCTCTGTGTAGTGCTGGAAATCAAACCAAGGTGGTCTGCCTCCCAATCCTATGCTCTTAACTACATTATTACTACCTAAAAACATTCTCCAAGTATTAGCTTTTCAGGTTTTAAAAAACTCCCAGTCCAAAACTATCAAAAAAGGAAGCTCCTACATTCTAGAAAGCAGATTTACTTAAATTAATTCCATGCAATGTGTAATAACTGCTTCATAAGTAAGCACTCTGCTGACTTAGCATAGCAGTCAACTAAATTCAGAAGCTGGATGAAGCAACTTTTTTTTTTAAAGTATTTTATTGTGCTTATAGTGAGAGTTTACACAGTAAATTAGGTTTCCCTTTAACAATACCTACACAAATCATTCAGTGATACTGGCTACAATTTTCTCAAGGTCATTATTCTCATTCATTCCATTCTGGTTGTACCATTTCCAGTACTCTAGTTTTCCTGCCCATTACATTCTCATCTTTGCTTTGGAGTAATTTTTGACCATCTGATCACCTACTGTTGATTTTTTTTTTTAAAAAAACTCATTACTCATTGGTGATATTATCTTACGATCCAATCTGTTATTTAGCTAGGTGACCTCAAGGGATAATTTTGGTTTAAGGTTTGAAATGTATCCCAGGGCAGTAGTCTAGGGGAGTCCTCTAGTCTCAACCGGTCCAGTGAATGGACTTTTTAAGTCCATTTTTTCTTCTCTTGTTCTATAAGGATCCATCTAATGTGGCCCTGATCAGAACAGGTGGTAGTGGTAACCAGGCACCATCTAGTTCCTCTGGTATCGCTGGATGAGACTGTAGTTTGTGTCGACTATTACTCTTGTAGACTAGTTTCTTCTGGGAGTCTTTGGTTTCCTTCTTTCGCTTTTGTAGAGACCAACAGCTGTATTTTAGATGGCCGCTTGTGAGCTTTTAAGACCCCAGACACTATTCACCAAACTAGGATGTAGAACATAAACTTAATGAGCTATATTATGCCAAATGACTGAGTTGTTCCATTAGACTATGGCCCTAAGTCTTCAAAACCAGAAAACCAATTCTGTGAGGTGTTTGGTTACATCTAAGAAGTATCCGTACCTGTGTCCCCTATAGGTTTATTATGTATATGGATATATACATGCAGGCATGCACATACCCACATGTACATGTCTACAGATACTTCTATCTGTGCATGCATACATACCCACATATTCACATCTATACTTATATGCCTGTCTACATATTTGTGTTAACACACCCCTAGTTTTTTGGTCATTGTGAAGCAACTCTTTAGATGACAATCACTATTTGTCAGGTATGTCTCACCACCGGAAGCCTATGTCAGTCCATTCATTTTCTCTTGGAAAATACCCAAGGTCATTTTTGCTGGATTCTATTGACAGTAAATTTTTGACATCTACCCTGAATACTAAGCTTTTGGATTTTTTTTTTTTTCTTTACTGAGTCAACTGTTCTGAAGGTCCATTCCATCTACTAAAATTAAAAAAAAAAAAAAAATTAAATAAGCCCACTAGCTCCTGATAAGTTGTTACTGGAATGTTTTGGGTCTTCTTACTTAGATAATGAATAAGAAGTAATTCAATACGCCCACCCGACACTAGATTATTTACTCATCCTGTTTTCTAACAGGATAACATCTTTTCTTCAGTCTAAAGGATGCCTCGTATGATACTCACAATCTGACATGTATACCCCAGTGGCATCTAGGCATAAACCTGATCTTATCCTTTCTAGAGTATTGTTTTTAGGAAAAAAAAAAAGAGTCTGTTTTAGAGTTTATGCTAAATAATATGCAGTTACTGCTTAAGAGCTTCAAACCTAATCGTAAAAGTCTTAATACAGAATTCCTAACCGACAAGTTCACCTATTTCTTTACCTGATCATTATTTAAAGTCTTCATTTTAATGGGACTAGCTATGTACAGCGGAAGTGGAAAATGCCTTTCTGCCACAAGAAAACAAAAGCAGTGACTTATGGCAGTGTCTTCATTACTCCAATTACTGCTAAGCCACTGAGAACTCCTTTAAGGCCAACAGAGCATGGCAAGATAAAAGTCAAAGATACTTGGTAAATGCTGAGAAAAGCAACAAACTCATTAACAAAAAATTTAAGGCCTCAGTCTTCATATAAGATACGACACAGAGACACGAACAGATATATGTACGCCTGTGTTCATTGCAACACTATTCACAACAGCAAAAAGATGGAAACAACCTAAGTGCCCATCAACAGATAAATGGATAAACAAAATGTGGTACACACATACAACAGAATATAATACAGCCATAAAAAATAATGATGAGTACTCAAAGCGTATTATAACGTGGATGAATCTGGAGGACACTGTGGTGAGTGAAATAAGTCACTTACAAAGGGACAAATATTGTATGATCGCCCTTTTATAAGAAGACAAGAATAGCTATATATACAGAGATCCGTGCTGACTGGTGGTTACCGGGATGAGGGCAGAGGAGGAATCACTCTCTAGACAGTAGACACTTATTATCTTTGGTGATGAGAAAGGCAGCACTGAATGTGGATGAAGTGCACACAACCTGACCAAGGTAAATGATGCCACTAAGAGATACACAAAAGGACATTTCTAGTAAAGGATAAGACACATATAATGTTGCAACACCACCACCACCTCCACCAACAAAAAAATGTGTGTGGTTACATATTTATGTATACATGCATATACGTGTATGAGTATATACATACGTGTGCATACATATGTATACACATGTAGATGTATCTATCTATAGACAAGTATGTGTGTGCATGTATATACATTCATATATAGAGTCATGTGTGGCGTAACATCCACTCGGGCAACGTCCAACTGCATATACATCCATGGTTCCATAGGGATGTAACAGAGTTCAGAAAGTCTGATGGGAGAGTGGGATGCAGCAGACATAACCGGATGTAGCAGATGAAATGGTATCTGACACACAACACACGTATCTCATGTTTCTTGTAGACAAAGTGATTGCACTGCCAGGCATATAATGGTACAGTACATATATAACCTGTAACACATGTTTTGACAGTCATAATAAACACCTATGTTATTGGCTTACGTATGTACTGTACTATACTTTCTATCGTTATTTTAATGTGAACTTTCCCTACTTACAAATAAAAAGTTTACCATATAACAATGTATCCTTCGACTCATAGGTAGGAGCATCCAATCTCACATATCGCACATCTCTTGAGTGTTGAAGTGTTATCTCTGTTTAACTTTCTTTCAAAAATATTATCATGAAGTGCATCATGGCTCCCAAATGCA